CAATGCTGATTTTTTGGAGGAAATAAGCCAAATTGCCTACTTTTTGTTGAAAATTTTAGAGAAGACTAACAAAACCAAGAAAGACCTAAAAGAAGGACTACTAGCATCCAACAAAAGTATTTTACCCTTGAAAGAAACAACGACTAGTAATCCTTTTTCTAGGAAAGGAAAAGAGCTACTATATTTGCTTTTCGGTAAATAATAAACTCTGGACTTGTCGGCAAGTAGTATATGAGAACTACTTCTAAACGACAAGTGCCGTACAAGCAGTGAGTGATAAACTCTAAAGAAGTTAGCAGGTAGTATATGAGAACTACCTCTAAATAACAACTGCCGACTTATAGTTTCCAGTTTTATGCTCTTCATTACTTACTAGTTACTGTTTTTAACAAAAAAGTTTTTAGAAATTTTGGTTTTAGTGATTGTTGAAAAGAGTTAATGTCTATTTGTTTTGTTTAAGTATTTGTATTATTATTATATTATATTATTAGTTATTAATATATAGTTATATTTATTAGTATAGTATTAGTTATTATTATTGTACTATTGTATTAGTTATAGAAATATTATTGGCTAGTTAGATTCAGCACAGTAATATTATATAAGTGTCTCCAAGTGCCTTTGCACAAGTGCCTCTAAGTGCCTCTACATGAGCGTCTTTAAGTGCCTTTGCACGAGTGCCTTTAAGTGCCTCTGTACAAGTGCCTCTAAGTGTCTTTTACACGGCTTAGTGTTACATCTCTTACGTATAGAAAAGTTATAAAAAGAGAACCTTTGCCTCTTCTACTCAAGTAGAGAATTCCCTACTCTCTCATAGTATCTAGCCTTACTTTTTTACTATTCTTGTTCTTGTATAAAGTGATATACTCTCTCTAGAGTAATCTTAGTAGATGAGGTTATCCTCCTTGACCTATAATAAATAAAGTATTAACTTATATACTATTCCTATGTCAAACTATTTGCCTTCTGCTAGTGGAAGTAGTATATATTCTACTTCCACCCTGTGTACACCCCAATAGCAGGGTCTCTGTACTGGGTGACCTTGTTACCTTGCTACATATTGACCAAGAAGGCTGTAGCATTGTAACAATATGATAATAGTAATATTAAGATTTTATTAATATTCTCTAATCTCTAAATACATACTCTAGAGCTGGTTCTAATAACATATATTTAAAAAGATCTGATTGTAGTATATAATATTTTCAATTATTATAAAATACATTTATAGTATTTAGCACCATATATATAATAATTATTTTTAATAAAATTTAATATTTTTATATTCAAAACTCTTTCTAACGATCATTTGGACTACAATTTTCAAAAAACTTTTTACTAGAAAAAAAAACAGTACACTAGAGTAAAGTCGATAACTCTTATGTAAGTTATAGGAAAAGAGACTGTAAGTCAGCAGCTGTTATTTAGAGATAGTTCTCATATGCTACCTGCTAATAGCCTCAAAGTTTATCACTCACTAACTGCAGGCACAGCACTTGTCATTTAGAAGTAGTTCTCATATGCTATTTGTTAACAAGTTCAGAGTTTATCACTTATCAAAAAAACTTATTACTGTACAGGCTCAGGTAAATAGTTGATTCTAGTAAAAAAAAAACCTACACTTCTTTAGTGGTTTCAAATGTTTTTTCTTTCTCTCGTATCTTGCTGACCTCACCAAAAATTTTGACAAAAAGTGGACATTTCAGCTTACCTTCTCCAAAAGATTGACATTGTTTATACTTACCTAATTCAGACGAACTCAATAGAATGCAACTATGTGTTTATTTTGTTTATTTTTATAGTGCTATGGTATGGGGACAAGATCAATAACTCCTGTTTAGAAGATGCCCAACTCTGGTGATATGTCTGAAATAAGTCTCAACATTAAAGCGAAGCTTTATAGCTGAGATATATTAATTAGTTGCAATTAGTATATAATTTTTATTTTTATATCTGACATGGGTTATAATAGTATATTTTTTTTTTTGTTTTTTTGTTTGTTTTTCTTTTTTTTAAGGTGGTTCATCAAGACTTCTATATTTTTTTTCATCTTTATCCTATTATGATGAAACTATATTTAGAATACTATTTTTTTTTGATTAAATGTTTTTTTTTTTTTTTTTTCTTAAATAGTTTTGTTTTCTTTTATAGATGTGACATATTTTTTCTTCCTTTATAGAAAAGTAAAAGATAAACTATTTTGCTCAGATCTAGGTGAAAAAAGTTTAGAAGGAAGGATAGGTAGTCTTGACAAGCCAGTGAAACCTTTTGATGAAGATCTATTCTTTTCAAGTGCAGAAGAGAATATTTTGAAGAAGAATCTACCTATAGCAGGTCGCACATGGGTAATTTGGACCCTGGTCACAAAGAGCTGAGTGAGCTAATACTTGTAATTTAGATGGTGTTAGGGTTTATACTCTTTGAAAATTTTAATATTTTATAGTATAATATTATAAAGCCTAATAAAGTAGAGACAAGACTACCGAATTGGAAAAAAAAAATATATATTTTTATAAAATTTTTTTTTTTATATGGTGCTGGAAGCCTATACTAGACAATAAAATAGTATAACTTTAAAATGCATCAGCTTTTTATAGAAACAATATTTTTAAAAGCTATTTGGCAAATTTGTAGAGCTTATTATAGTGAACAAAGTTACTGGTCAGATTTTCAAAATATTGTTTTTATAAAAAGTTATAATACTTTAAAGAAAATTAAAATTGAAACACATAGTAATTACATATAAAAGAATAGTAATCTTTAAAATGCATCAACTTTTTATACAGAAGGTTTTCAAAAAAAATATTTGGCAAATTTATAGAACTAATATTCCTTTACAAAGTTACTGGTCAGTTTTTTAAAAAACCTCTTGTACAAAAAATTATAGTGATTTAAAAATTGAAACATGTTGAGTATAGGCTTCCAGCACTATATATATTATAATATCTTAGATATAAAGTTCTAATTTTAGTTTTTGGAGTTCTAAACATTGTATCTAATCCTGTTTACTTAGTACAATTTTGAGAAATAGAGAATCTACAGTATAATATTAAATATCATAGATATATTTTAGTAAACTTGTATTATTTTTTTATATAGTATATAAATTTAATTTTTTTATTATATTTTCTCTTTTAAAAAAATTAAATACTTTTTTTTTTTTTTTTAGCTCTTTGATAGTTTTGCCAAAGCTCAGATACAAAACTTTATTTAATTAATAACAACAAAATGTCTTAAACATAACAAGTTTTAACAATTGCAAGCTTAGCATCTTATAGCTACAATAAATATGCCCATTAGTGACTTATCACACCATCTTGTATACAAGTTGGATAAACTTTATTAGCATATTGAAAGCTAATCCTTTTAATTCTTCTTTTTTTACTAAGAGCAAAAGAAAGTAATAATTTCATATTAACAATACAAAACCACCAATTAATGAACAAAAAAGAAACTATATCTAATAAAAACAAAATAAATGAAAAAAAAATTTCAAAAAAAAAGAAAAAAAAAGAAATGCAAAAAAAAAAAACGAAAAGAAAAGCCCAAAGGCTGACAAAGAGAAGAGCTATCTCTATCAAAAAGTAGTAAATAACCCAAAGGTTAAAATGAAAAAGAAAAAATATACTATTATAACCCATGCTAAGTTAAAGTAAAAATTATATAACAAATGCAACAATTATATATATTTAATATAAAATAAAATCTTAATATATATTTTTCAACTACCAACCAACTTCAGATATCTCTTTAACCAGAGACTCCGATTCAAGTTACATAAAGTAGTACTATATCTATAGGTAAACAAGACACATGGTTGCAATCTACTAAGTTTGTCTGAATTGGGATATAAACAATACTGATTTTTTGAAAAAGGTAGGCCAAATCCTTATTTTTTGTAAAAAAATTTTTAGAAAATCAATGAGAGAACAGAAGAAAGTGATAAAGGAGTTACTTGGTCAAAAGAAGTATAGCTTAAAAGAAATTAGTTCATTACTATTTTCTAGTTATTGTGTAACAGCTCCCTTTATCAACAGAAGAGTCTTCGTCTAGGTATTCCCTTTTACCAAAATTTTATATACAAGAGCACCACCTCTGGGTTTTTTATATCTTGCCAGTTATCTCATATATAAATGCTTCTGGCTTGCTTGCTAAATATATAAAGGAGTCCTCCAGAAAACAGAGTTGACCTTTATAAGAACCATTTTGCTTGTTCAGCTACTTAAACCATGTTTTAACTAACTCCAATAAGAAAAAAAAACAAACCTTTTTTTTGGTGAGAAAATTAGACAAAGTGATCGTCATAATTAAATAACTTTTATCTTTCTAAATTTATATTAATAACTATTAATCTAAAGAAAATTTCTAAGCCCATAAAAAAAAAAAACTACTTAATATTAGAGTTAGAATTAGGGTTAGAGATTAGAGTTAGAAAGTATTTTATACTAAAATTTTGCGTAGATTATTTTTTGTTAGAACCCCAAAAGTAATTTTATAAGCTAAATTTCGAGTAATAACAATACTCTGTGTGTACGCACTAGTGTACAAATAGTAATTCTCTAATCTAAATTAACAAAACTTTTATTGCAAATAAATAATAATATATTGTATATTGGGCTACAACATACTAAAATTTCATGCAATTTGAATTAGTAATTTTTAAAAATTTTTTAGCCTTATAGTAGTATATTGTTATTATTTTAATATTTTATTTTAAAAAAAAAATGATTTGAATAAAGTAAAAGAAGCAAAGCCTTGTTTTTAAAATCTATCTTTATGTATGTTACTTGAAATTTTGGTTAACTCACTTGTTTTTTGCGCTTTTATATGCCTACAACCTAAAAGATAAATTGTATTATTTAAAATTAAACTTATAAATTCCAATTAAAATATTTAAATCTACTGTTCTAGTTTATCGGTTAAACAAAAGATCTAATTGCCCAAAAACTAATTCAAAGTAACCAAAAAAATTTTTTGATATATCAAAAACCATTAAGAAATTAAATATCATTCAAGTCTTCATTTTCTAATATTTGTTCTCTATCATACTCAACAACTAATGCTTGACACTGTTTAATTGTACCTTTAAATTTATTTTGAAAATTAATCTTAGAAACATAGAAACAAGTCAACTAAATAATTTGAAAGAACCTTTACCTCCTACATGTAAAACCCGTATAGTACATGATCTCGAGTTTATTTGTGTTATGAAAGTTAGTGCACACCACAACATGCGATAATGATCTCTTGACACTCGTAATAATCCCATGTTTGTATGTGGTGAATAGTACTTTACTATTCAAAATGAATTATGAATCAAGTTTGTAGAATAATTAAAGTTGTCTCTATTCATTTAAAATAAAGTGCGAAAACTACAAACATACAGTACCATTCAATGAAGAAGAAGTACACCCACGCCCATAGTCTCCAAAATTTAATTGAATAGATTCTTTTACGGTTATATAAATGTCATGAAGTGTCAGCGGGGCGATTGATGTATCTTGATGAGATGTGTTTTCGAATAAAGTTTCAAATAGAATCCATCGATGCTTTAAACGAACCATATTTTAAAAATTGGCTTATATGTGCATACAGTACATTACTATATATATACTGATATATTATACGCATATGAAATCAAAAATATAATTTTTAAATTCAAAACTATTTTAATAATACGTATAATTTTAGCAAAATTTGTTTAAACCAATTTATATAGTAAATAAATAAAGATAATAAATTTTGTTTACATGTGTACATGCACAAAAGCAAAAACCACAATTATAAAGCTGGCCTTAATTTTTTTTTTTTTTATACGTATTACAAAAAGTTAGTGTAATTGATCATGACGCGAAGTTTGATCAACAACGTCCAACCAATAATCGCCACCATCTACGTAGTATTTGGATGTGGGGACCTCAACATGTAGTGAGAGGAATTCGTCTATATTTGATTTTCGAAAATCTTTTTTTTTCTTTTAAAACAGCCCTTTAAATACCTATAATTTATTTTGTTAAGATTTGGCCAACTTTAAATAAGAAATCTAAATATAAAGAACCTTTCTACAACTTAGTCAGAGGAAATGGAATCTGTCTGGAAAAGTAGAAGGTAGAATTTAGGACCATTTTATTATTCTTTCACAGATTTAGAATTAAGATTGATCAAAAAAAAAAAAAAGGCAAAAAAAAAGAGACATGAGCTAGCTGACGGATTATTGGGTAAATCCTTATTCAGTTGTATTCACTATATTGAATATTCATTTGTCACAGTAACCGTTTAACCGTCAACACCGACCATAGTAACACCACAACAACGACTACGATCGCAACGGCGACAACTCCAACAACTTCTACGTCGTCGACAAAACTTATTCAACTTCAACGTACAAGTTCGCCAAATGGTGTTACTAGTGCATCTGCTGTTCTTCTGACACCAACGACGCCCCTTGGAATGGGTGCAGGTCTAGTAAATAGTAGTAGTGGAAGCGGATATCTTACTAAGCACCGTTTGAGCGTTACGGGTGGAGGAGTAGGTGAGGATAAAGATAATAAAGAGAAAGAAAATGGGAATAGTAGTAATGGTTTGGTAATTGGATTGACGCGTCAGCAATTCACACCGAGCCCTACAAGTGAAATTCATCCATTGCATTTTACGTGGGTATTTTGGTTCATGCACCGAAGCCCTGGTAGTAAGATACTAAATTACGAGAGTTCAATGAAAAAAATTGCAGCCTTTTCTTCGGTAAATATTTATATTCAATAATTTTATTAGTTATTTTCACATCAAAACAATTAATATGCTATATGCTCAAATTTAGATAGAGGATTTTTGGGCTGTTTATAGTCATCTTCGAAGACCTCACGAATTACCTAATATTAGTGACTATCACCTTTTTAAACAAGGTGTTAGACCAGTATGGGAGGTTTGTAAATATGATATCCTTTTTTTAAAGCGACATTTCAAAATTAATATATGCAAAAAATTCAAATTAAATATTTTTACTACATATATTTTTTTTAAAAAAAAAGGACGATACTAATATTAATGGAGGTAAGTGGATCGTGAGGTTAAAGAAAGGACTGGCTAGTAGATATTGGGAAAGTTTGGTGAGTTTCCTTTTTTTTTAAAAAAAAAAAAATCGAGAAACAAAAATAATGATACAATTAATAATATTGATTATAATTTAATTTTCTCGCGAAAGGTGATGGCAGTCATTGGAGATCAATTTGATGTGGGCACGGAGATTTGTGGAGCGGTGCTGTCTATCCGCAGTTCGGAGGACATCCTGTCCCTGTGGAATCAGTCCGCACATGAGGGAAGAATTAACTTAAAAATACGGTAGTTTTTTTAAAAAAATTTTTTTTTAATAAAATTTTCGATCGAAATTTTATAATCTTACCTTAATTGCAATTATTCTGATAGGGACACAATGAAACGTGTTTTGAATTTGCCAAGTGAGACGATTATGGAATATAAAACGCATAACGATGCGTTGAAAGATAATTCTAGTTTTAGAAATACTGATGTTTTCCGATGAAACTTGATGTTGGTAGGATTTATGTCAGATGAGTTAACAGATGCAATTAAGTGTTGTTTTATACAGAGAATATATTTTTGAGATCGTATTATGCTATACACTTATGTATTATGATAAAAAGCGAAATCCAAATTTATATTTTCATTGGTATATTATAAATGGGAGTTTATGACCGTGAAAGGTGAGGTATTAAGCGTGAAGTTGTACTCAAATTATACATGTAAAGACTGAAATGAATATCTACACTCTTTAAACCAATCATTCGCATTGAAGTTCTAATTTATTAACAGTCAAAAAAGATATAATTACAATCAGATGAACTTGTAATGTCGATCAAGACTATCTTTTAATTGTAAACCTTATTTAAATCTTTGCATTGATAATCTTATCGGACCTTTAATCTTTATTTTAACTATACTAGCATATACGTCAACTACGTCAACTCGAATTTAAATTATAGCCAATTATCGATATCGTGTATATCAGATATAAAATACTGATAATTTATTAAGCTGCATTTTTTAAAACACATACCCGCCTACTTTGTTACGTTCTTAAGCCTAAAGTTGCCGCCCAAACTATTTTAAATGATCCAAACTATAATACAGTATAAGAATTAAAAACCTTTACCTCAGATAAATGAACAACGGTAGTAGATACAATGAAAAGTACCAAGAAGGTACGTATGTAGAAAGATAGAAATTACTTCGCATTGTAATGAGCCTTATTTTTAATTATAGTACATCCATAATAACCGATATTACTGTTACTACAATCGTTTTCCATAATAAAACTTTGTAAATTTAGCACAAACAAAATTCATTAAAAAAAAACAAATACGTTTCAATATTCAATTGGACAAATGAAAATAAAAATAAGGCATTTCACATGGTAAACAGATTTACATTTGCACAAATTTATGCTGTGCCATTCACTGATAAACAATTAGGAGTCCAATCAAATTTTTTAAATTACACCACGGAGAGACGGAAAATATACATTTTTAGAATAGTTATACATCTGATATACTAAATATATTAAAACCGCAAATCCCATCCGATCTGAGGTCCATATTTCGGTAATGCTTCTGCAACCGATGAAACGTCTTTATCACCACGGCCACTGACACATAATAGAATATCTTGATCTTTGCGCATATTGGATGCAAGTTGTATAGTTTGATAGATAGCATGACTTGTTTCAAGGGCTGTTTGAATATATTAAAGAGATGTATTATTAGGAGATACACATACGAAGGCTCACATCATTTAGTCGAACTTACCTGGAATAATACCTTCTAGCTCTGACATCTTTCTAAATCCAATTAAAGCTTCTTTGTCAGTGACAGCGACATATTCAACGCGGCCAGTCTCCTTTAACCAAGAATGCTCAGGGCCAACACCAGGATAATCTAATCCGGCACTGATACTATGTGTCTCGTTGATTTGTCCTTTGTCATCTTGTAATAAGTAGGTACGTGTTCCATGTAACACACCTGGCGTGCCAACGGACAAAGTTGCTGAATGAAACTTTGTATTAACACCTATAATAAATAAATAATAAATAATAATTGAATGTTTATTTGCTTATATGCTGAAAGTTAAAATAAGGGGAAAAAATTACCATCACCACCAGCTTCAACTCCAACCATCTTAACGTCCTCATCATCAATAAATGGAGCGAATATTCCAATAGCATTACTGCCACCGCCAACGCAAGCAATAACTAAATCGGGTAATTTACCGGCTTTCTTTAACATTTGCTCACGTGCCTCTTTGCCAATCACTGATTGAAATTCACGTACAATAGTTGGAAATGGATGTGGCCCTATTGCCGATCCAACAACGTAATGTGTATTTTGAACATTAGTTACCCAATCTCGCATAGCCTCATTGATAGCATCCTTTAATGTTCTACTGCCTGCGAATATATTTTAAAGATTATAAATATGATTCAAACCAATTAATTATGCAAAAAGTTATTAAAAAACAACCAGAGTCCACGGATACGACAGATGCTCCTAATAATCTCATTCTGAACACATTTAATGCCTGTCTTCGAACATCTTCGCTACCCATATACACAACACATTCCAATCCAAACTTAGCACAGGCAGTTGCAGTTGCTACGCCATGTTGGCCAGCTCCTGTTTCCGCGATAATTCTCTCTTTACCAATACGTTTGGCAAGAAGAACTTGCCCAATAGCGTTATTGATCTTATGTGAACCTGTGTGGTTCAGATCTTCCCTTTTTAGCCATATTCTTGCACCACCAATATCATCAGTTAACCTGTTAGCATACTGTAGTTTTGATTCTCTACCCATATAATCGTAGTAAGATTGATATTCTTTCCAAAAATTAGGATCATTTTTGGCTTCTATGAATGCCTAAAATATTAATAAAATCATTATGATCATCTACAAAGATTAACGATGTTCGATTTATAAAACGTGATAATACTTTTTCAAGTTCCATTATGCAGTCGAACAAAGCTTCCGGCACGTATTGACCTCCAAAATCACCGAACCGCGGAGAAAGGATATAAGGTACACTTCTCTAAGAAAACAAAATAATTACACATATTAATATCCATTAAAAAAAATTCAGTTAGATTTACGTAAAATTTAAAGATATATACATCGGTTTTCATCATATTGGCTTTTACACAATCGTTTTGAATATTTTGATCCACATTCGCATTCATGTTGTCAACTATAAAAAAAAAAATTAGCAAATAACTTAAATATGTAATAGAGTGTATTAAAGGTACCTCATACCTTCGTCTCTATGTCCAGATGATAAGCCACATACTTCTAAAGCATATGCTTTTACGCTTTCAGCGCGTTTCCCCTTTTCTAGGCGAGTAAATGTAGATACAATATTTAAATTAATAGCACTACTTATAGTTTCATTTAAAAACTGAATTACGAAATTAAATTGATTAAATGTATGTACCAGCTTTTTTTAAGACATCAACAATTTTAGTACCGATGACCACGGCATCGGCGTGTGATGCAACGAGTTGAAAATGTTCTCTAGTAGAAACACCAAAACCAACCGCAAGAGGAATATTGGTGTATTTGCGAACTCTGCCGATCAAATCAGGCAGTTTATTATTGACTTCAGAACGAAAACCCGTTGTTCCCATTCTTGATACGACATAAATAAAAGAATCGGAAATACTTGAAAGATATTGAATGCGCGTCTCTGTGGTTGAAGGGGCGATAAGAGGCACATAACTAAGACTAATATATTATAAAAAGGTAGAATGGTTAAAAATCAACATAGTTATAAAAAAAAAAAGTAAAATAAAGAAAAAATATATAATACCCATGTTGAGAACAAATTTCGCGTAAATGATCGGATTCTTCTGGTGGTAAATCGACTACAATAAAGCCATTGACTTCATTCTTTTTACATTTCTCTACAAGCTTTTCTTCACCATAAATTAGCATTGGATTATAATAGCCCATAAATAGCACCGGAGCTTTAAGACCGCGAGCACGAGCTTGAGAGATAAAGGATAAACTTTGATCTATATCTATGTTATGTTTAAGAGCAACCTATAGAAGGGACCATTCAAATTATTTAAGAGACGAATCGCGTGATTTGTTCGAACTATGTAGAATATATCTGCTCATTACATTATTGGCTTCTTGAATTACTGGCCCATCAGCCAATGGATCCGTAAAAGGTATGCCTAAATAATTGAACAAGTTAATACTTTACTCGAATAGTAAGCTTAAATCGTACATGAAACACCTTACCGAATTCAATTATGTCGGCTCCACCTTCTTCGAGGCCAAGAAGAATATCAACAGTCTCTTCAGGGTCGGGGTACCCAGCAGTTAGGAAGGCAACAAATACGGGCCTTCCTTAAAGGTATTAGAGTATGCAGAATAAAATCAAAATTTTAAACGAAAAACTTAAATACTAGAGACTATTGAGAATTCATACTTTTCTCTTTAGCCTGTTGAAAAACTCTTTTCAAAGCGTCTGACATGATTATTAGATTATCAGAATTTTGCCATTGTCTTTATTTGATAACGATAATCAATCATTAAAAATACAGTAATTCTATTGGCTATATAAAAATATAAATTCTAATACCGATACAAACATGATATGGCAGGGATGCGACTCGACTCAAAAGTCGAGTCTTTGAGACTTGGGATTTAGATATAGCATAAAAAAATGTGTACTAGATGCAAGTGCAGATACAAGTCGAAGTCCCAAGTCTGCTTGGAATCAAGCATTTAACAAAGACTTGACTTTTGAATCGAGTCAGGACCGGACCGGACTTTTTCACATCCATAGGCGCCGGTACCAGCACTGGTAAACAACAAAAAAACTGTAGGCACTTTCGCACCAGTATTTCTGTGTAATTTTATGTGAACACGAGGCATTAATTTGACGCACAATTTACAAGTTACGAATAAAAAAATTCAACTAATTAACATCATGTAAAATCATACTTAGTACTACAGTACCAAATTTTTTAATTTTAATATATATGTCGTACGTCGGAATAGAATTAATGTAGATTTGGAATCCACCTAGGTTGATTCCGAATAAACATAGAATTCTAAAATGTGCTCAAGTTATTAAAGAATTCGAATTTAACTTAAAACAAAATAAAATAAATTCCGAATTAATTTATTAATAAGTTATTTTAGAATTTAAGTAGCTTCGAGATAATGCTTTATTTATGTCATATTGCAAAGTATTGCTTTAAAACATTACGTGTTGTTTTTACATTTAAGGTTACTAGGGTGACAACTACTACCACAAGGCAAATTCATTTTTTTGCATTTATAGTGATTTTTTTCACATGTATTTTTGCAGTTGCACTTTACATTACCTACTTGCGATGATGATTGCGCAATATATGCTTCATGAACACCTATAAAAGTTGAAGGAATATTATCTAATTCTGGAAATTTATCTGGACCTAAAGGAAGTAATTTATTCGCGCTATATGTAACTTTGATAATGCCCAACTTGCATCCAATTCTATACATATCATTTCTAAAACCTCAAGAATCTTGCAAGAAAGTGTTTTCTGGTCACTATGAGTTCTATCAATTTCAGGAATTTTGAGGTGCACCAAATTTCCAACGTCGTAATTATTAAATAATCCTTTGTTACATTTAATGAGCTGCAATTTCACATCATCGCGATATCATTCAAGTGACTTTGAAGCTATACTTTGATATAGTTTATGTGCTGATGTTTGTTGAATATTGGTTTTGTCTCGAAGAGTAGATTCTGAACGTTTATCTAAAGAAGACTAAAGATAGAATAAATGTAATAAATGTTAATTAATTATTAAAATTTCAATTTCAATTTATTAAAATGATGCTTAATTACCTAAATAACAGTAGTAGACAATTTATGCCTTTTAGTTGGTCGAATTCCATGATTATCTTCCTCAGGTAATTTTATCTGTTTTATAAAATTTTATTATTATAATTATTTATGACAATAATACTAATACATACCCTCATTGCTTCTTTGTTCTTTCATTTACTCTTTTGTATACTATTCTCTTGTCCATTTTTTTATCTATTCTTGCATTTGTTTTCTCAATATCTTCACCTGCATCTATTCTTTTATTATTCATACTTTTATTATCTACCTTTTTACTATTTATTCATTTGTCATTATTAATCCTTTTATCATCCACTCTTCCATTATCCACTCTTTTGTCATCTACCTTTTCACTGTTCATCTTTTTATTGTTAACTCTTTCATTGTCCACTCTTTCATTATTTACTCTTTTAATATCCACACCTTCATCATCATCTACTCTTTCAATATTCACACTAGTGTTTAAAATTAACCTGCACAAGATGCACAAGTGCATGTAAGTTTTTTTATGTGTATGAATTTTTAAAAAATTAATGCACAACTGTGCATTTAAAATTTAATAAAAAT